TGTGATCATCTTCACATCGAAGATCGAAGGTCTCGGGGAAGAAATCCTCAGGGCGTGTCACCCCTTCAGCGAGGCGAAGCAACATTGTGCTCCCTGACGGCCACGAGGGATATCCCGCCAGGTCTCCTGGTCAAGCATGCGCATCCGAGAGCGGCCAAAGTCAATCTCGGCATGGAGGGCTTCAAGCAAGGGTCGGCCAAACAACATGGGAGTGGCACCGTAGATCACATAGGCTTGGATCTTGCCACCAACGTCAGCCAGACGTGTTGGTAGCTCGATCATCCATTTTGACTGTCCTGTAGCATCGCCACCGAAGCGGAAGGACTTATCACACTGCTTGAAGTTCAACTTGTCCATGGGGTAGCCGAGGATTTCCAGCCACTTGAGGTAGCGCAGGATGTATTCACTGCCAGCCAGGAATGATGATGCTCCTTGGTCCTGGATGCAAGCGTCAGGATCCGGCGTGAGCCAGCCGCCGGCACGAACCAGAGCTTCCCCTTGGGCGTAGGCCTCTTCAGGGTCATAGAAGATCTCATTCTCATAGTCGTAGCCCTCCTCAGCATCATAGAACTCTTCAGTGCTGAGGACCATGTGGACCATTGTGTCATCATCTGCAGGTCGCTTCTTTGGTGAGCTTGACTGTGCACCTGCCGTCGAACAGTTTGCTGCGAAGTGGCCAGGCTTTCCGCAACGAAGGCATACCATAGCTGAGCGAGCTCTCTGCTTGCCGCTGGGCCCTTTTCCAGACTTTGAGCCTTTTCCTTTGGAAGAGCTCTTTGACTTGCCAGGGCTCTTGGATTTGCCTTTGCCGGAACCTTGGGCCATCAGAGGTGCTTGACCCTTTCCACCATCAACCACTGCCACGACGGGGTAGAAGCCACGGCTTTGTCTGAGCTGGTTGAGGCGGTTCTTGGCGTCGACGTAGGTGCTGTAGATGTCATCGAACTCCTGAGTGTCAAACATGGAGTCCAGCTCTTCTTGAGCTTCATCGTAGTAGAAGGTGTCATCGGGCTCTGGGTCATCCCATTCTCCCATGGTCTCCTGGAAGTCGTCGGGGTCGATGGCATCCTGGAAGTAGGTCTCTTCATTCTCATAGTTCTCATCCAGCTCATAGTCTTCCTCCCAAAAGGCTTGGCTCTGCCTCTTCCATCGGCCGGGGAGCTGTGGCTTCCTCAGGTGTGCAGGAAGGTGTACATGGCGATGATCTTGGCCGAGGATCAGGTAGAGAGCCTGCTCGACAGCTGGAAGCGTAAGGGTCGAGCCGATGTTGGTCTGGATGAGCTGCTCTTGTTCCTTGGTCAGTCCGGCTCTCTTCAACATCATCCAGCCGGTGATCTCCTCAGGAAGATCAACTTTGTGCTTTGAGACCTGTCTGAGGGTCTGGTGGAACTCAGTGGTGTATTCCAGGATCGACTGGTCCTTCTTGCGCCGCAGCTTGAAGAAGAACTGCTCGAAGTGGGTCGGCATTTCGACCTTGGCGTCATACGCCCATTGGCGGTCCAGGCGCTTGAGAAGGATGTCGAGGCCAGATTCTTTCTCCAGCTCCTGGAGATCCAAATCTTCACACTGGGTCCAGGATGGACCTTCAAGGACTGAGAGGACGTTGAGGGCGATTTCGCTCTTCCGCCCTTGAAGCTCAAGCTTCCGGGCGTACAAGGTCACTCGCCTCCGCCATTCAGCATAGGTCGTGGTCGTGTTGTCGAAGCGGGGCACGAAGTTGTCCTTCAGATCCTTGCCAGCATTCGCGGAGGAGCTGCCGCCATTCGCGTCGCGTGAGGTTCCGCGGCGGGTCGGCGACGAAGCCATTGCGATGCTGGAGCCCCCTCCTGTGAGGAGGCTCCGCTACCAATATGAAAACACGGAAGTGGAAACTCGTGTTGTATCGCGACCGCACGAAGTGTCGAGATGGAAAGTGAAAAAGTGACTGCGTCTCTTTTCTAGCATGTGCGTAGCACGTGTGAGGTCTCAAGGGGCCCCTGCAGGGTGCAGGAGAGCCAAGTGGCAGCGACCGGCGGTCAAAAGCTGCTCAAACTCAAGTTGTACGGCGTACAATTCACAGAAAGCAAATGAAAGCAACACAACTCTCGCCAGGATGCTGGACTTGTAGTGAAAGAGCTTCCAGAGCTTTTGCGAGACTTGTGCCGACAGGAAGATCGCGAGCACTGGATGGGCCTCATTTTTCAAGGACCTCCAGGAGGCTGAGGCCAAAGATGGCCAAAGGCCTTTGTGCGTAGAAGCAAGGCTCTTTCTGCAATGGCCTCAAACCTACCAGCGATGGCCTCCCACCTACTAGCGATGGCCTCCAACCCAATAGCGATGGCCTCCAACCTAATAGCGATGGCCTCCAACCCAATAGCGATGGCCTCCAACCCAATAGCGATGGCCTCCAACCTAATAGCGATGG